TGTTGGAACCGAGAAATAGCAAACAATTCTAGAGAACGACCTCTTCCCGAGTGGAGTACCGATAGAAATAATGTGCCTCTCCAAAGAAGACGAAGAAGAAATATCCAGTCATAGGAATTCTACTGTCGAATTACTCCAAAAATCTACAGTAAGATATGAAACAGGAGTGTTGTCTCAAGAAGAGCTGCTAAGAAGCCAGAAGTCAGACAGTGATCTGAGAACGGTTCGACATTGGTTAAGAAATGGAGTAAGACCAGAGCGACAAGAAGTGTCTAAATTCGGTAGAGATGTACAAAGCTATTGGGCTCAGTGGGATTCTTTGTATCTTCGCGATGACCTACTGCATCGCAAGTGGGAGAGCCCTGATGGAACATCGGTCGTATACCAATTGATCGTGCCTCGTATAGCGAAGAAGGAAGTTTTGAAGCAACTTCATGATAGTCTAACTGGGGGTCATTTTGGAGTAAGAAAAACTTTAGCCAGAATAAGAGAACGATTTTATTGGATAAACTGTAGAAGGGATGTGGAAGATTGGTGCAGAAGCTGTGATTTATGTACATCGAAGAAAGGACCGACGACAAGAAGTAGAGGCAAAATGGCCCAGTATCTCTCCGGAACGCCTTTCCAAAGGGTAGCGGTCGATATTCTTGGACCGTTACCAACAACGGATTCTGGAAATAAATTTTTAATGGTCGCGATGGATTACTTTTCAAAATGGCCCGAAGTAGCTGCCTTACCCAATCAAGAAGCTGAAACAGTCGCCGAAGCCTTTATTGAAAACGTTATTTCAAGACATGGGGTCCCACTAGAAGTACACTCTGACCAAGGTAGTAATTTTGAGTCTGAATTATGGTCGGCTGTAATGAATAGGTTGGGTACAAAGAAGACAAGAACAACTCCTCTTCATCCCCAATCCGATGGCATGGTAGAACGGTATAACAGAACAATCTGTCAGTATCTATCAATATTTGTGTGTGACAATCGAAATGACTGGGATAAACTAATACCGATATTCTTGCTAGCATATCGCAGTTCTGTGCATGAATCAACAGGATATACTCCAGCAATGTTGACCACTGGCAGAGAAATAAGGTTACCCATCGACATTTTAATTGGTTCGGATCCTCCAAATTTAGACAAAGTCAAAATTCCTAAATTTGTCCAAGAATTACAGGATCGACTCAATCAAATTCAGGAATTTGCAAGAAAACATCTTAAAATCACAAGTGACAGAATGAAGACAAGGTTAGACTGCAAAACAAATGAGTCAAAATTCGACAGAGGTGATGCAGTGTGGCTCTATAACCCGAGAAGAAAGAAAGGTCGCAGTCCAAAACTTCAGCGCAACTGGGAAGGTCCCTACACTATAACAAAGCGCATCAATGACTTGGTCTATCGTATCCAATTATCACCAAGGAACAAACCAAAGGTTGTTCATATAGGGCGTCTTGCCAAATATGATGGTAAAGATCCTCCCAAATGGCTTAAACCAGACGACGGAAATTAATTAATTCGAGACGAATGAATCCCAAGAAGGGGAACAGTGTTACGCCAGTGCCCATGAACCCGGCTTAAACGGATCTGACAGAAAAGTTAGGATCAGTCAAGTTGACGTTGGGAATGTTAAAATAGAGTTAATTATATAGATTTTGGAAATAAAGTTGTTTTATATAACCCTGGGTCGTTTCAATATTACATCCGAGACTGGCAAACCTTACCCATTTAGCATTTGAAAAAGAGAACAAAAAACATAGATATTGAAAATATGCTGGTTGAGTTTATTAATTTAAAAAATAGGAAACTGCAATTATTCTGAAAATTAATAAAAAAAAATAATTTTTGACTCTTTGGCATATTTGATGCCGCTTTTACTAACTCAACCCTCAACCAGTTAGATGTTCTTTGTAAAAGACGTTTTATATTTTTTTGTTGTAGAGTTTATTCTTTTGTTTAAAAAAATGTTTTTTATTGAATAAATATGTGTTTTGTAATTGCTTGTTTTTTTAATACCCTCCTCGGAGGAAGGAATTCAAAACAAAACCTCATGTCTTTTTGCAATTTTTATACTCTAATAAAAAAAATGAAGCCCCCCAAGATTTTGTTTAGCCCCCCTGAAACATGGGGCTAGCTACGGCCCTGCTTGAAAACCTCATATAAATATTCTTTTAAATCGTCTATCTAGTTACATATATTTACTAAGAAACATTTCATATCAAGTTAATAACAAAGATTTACTTATGGCTTATCATGGCTTATTTCACAGCATTATGTCTGTTCCGGTTTTATAAAGTAACCGGACTATAGCTACTTTAATCGCCCGGACTATTATTTTGTACCGTTACAAAGTGTTGCATCGAGAGCGCTGCATTCACCTTCATTTCCGGCTATTAGCCCAATCGGATTAGTATTTTAGATTCTGAAAAATTCGAAGCAGCAATTTTCCTTCGGAATTCGTTGGAGGGGGTCTCTGGTAGTTTAAATTCAAAAAGTTGGGATTCCAAAGTTGTCGTTACCTCCGCCATCTTGATTTAAAGGGTTATTTTTTGTATCTTGAATAACTCATTTATTTTCAATTTTACACGGAAAATAGTTTTTACAAAAGTTATTTAAAATTAAATTTCCTACAATTCTGCTTTTTTTTTGTACGATCGATTTTTTTCGATTTATACCCGAAAAGAGGGGGTGAATTTTTGGTTATAGAATAACTCGTTTATTTTCAATTTTACGAGAAAAATTGTTATAAACAAAGTTGTTTAAAATTAAATTTCCTACAATTCTGCTTTTTTTGTACGATCGATTTTTTTCGATTTATACCCGAAAAGAGGGGGTGAATTTTTGGTTATAGAATAACTCGTTTATTTTCAATTTTACGAGAAAAATTGTTATAAACAAAGTTGTTTAAAATTAAATTTCCTACAATTCTGTTTTTTTTTGTACGATCGATTTTTTTGTATTTATCCCTGAGAAGAGTGGGGGTGAACCTAAGTATTGTATTGTCACGTTTATTATTGATGTTGTACCATTATTTTTTCTGTTTGTTTTTTTTTTGCTGATACCTGGAATTAAAAAGAAACGTGATAATACAATGATAAGAGTTTACCCCCACTCTTCTCAGGGATAAATACAAAAAAATCGAGCGTACAAAAAACAGAATTGTAGGAAATTTAATTTTAAACAACTTTGTTTATAACAATTTTTCTCGTAAAATTGAAAATAAACGAGTTATTCTATAACCAAAAATTCACCCCCTCTTTTCGGGTATAAATCGAAAAAAATCGATCGTACAAAAAAAAAGCAGAATTGTAGGAAATTTAATTTTAAATAACTTTTGTAAAAACTATTTTCCGTGTAAAATTGAAAATAAATGAGTTATTCAAGATACAAAAAATAACCCTTTAAATCAAGCTGGCGGAGGTAACGACAACTTTGGAATCCCAACTTTTTGAATTTAGACTACCACAGACCCCCTCCAACGAATTCCGAAGGAAAATTGCTGCTTCGAATTTTTCAGAATCTCAAGCCTGTTCTTCACCTAATCCGATTGGGCTATATCTGAACAGAATTAGTGTTCCCGCGAAAAAACAATAGACCTTGATTGTCGTTTGGACGAGGTATGGACGAGGTATGGATGAGGGTGTAAAAAATTAGCGTCAATTCGCCATTGTTACGTGAAGAGTCCTGGTCGTCGCATCTATTCACTCGAGACTATTATTCGAATCGCTTCATCAAAGAAATTTTTGTGTAGGCCGTGCCGGTATAACTGATCATATCGGTATAAAAATATATGTATTTTCCAAGAAAATAACGTGTTGGAGTCTACAGATATCAGGGGGGCCCCTTCTGTCTACGATTCGCCGTAGGAGTTGGTAAGAAATATTTATTTTCAAGGAAATTTAAAATTTGTGGTTCGCTCGAACAAATCGTGTTTTTTTTTGCTTTAAAACAAAACAATGTAATTACTTCTATAGGGATGCTCATGTGTCATTTAGACAAAATTCTGATTGAAGAACAGAAAGCTATGCGAATAATAACAAAAGCTAATTTCAGAGACAATTTTCATCCACTTATCAAAAAATTAGGAATTCTAACATGTGTAAATCAGTATATCTTTGAATATTTAATTTATGTAAAAAGAAATATAAACAACTTTTGCAAAGCCTATGGAACAAGAAATATGTAAGTAAGATTATCTTTTTTTTAGATTAACATAAAATGACAATTCTCTCCAATTTTACATATTAATTTGTATAACCTACTTCTCCTTGTGTGACGCCTACTAAATACGATAAAAGTTTCCAAAAAGATAAAAACTTTTTTGAAAAATAATGTATAATATTAATAAATTTCATTTAAATTTTGGTTTGACTTATATACCTACTGTAATGAAATTGTATGCTTTTTAATTTGTTCTTTAGTCCATATGTATTATAGTTGTATTATTTATTGTAGTGAAGTTGTAAATGTTTGTTTATATTACTAGCTTTTAAATTTATAATATTAATGTTTTGACGAGAATAAGTATAGAAATGTAAAATTTATCTTAATAAAATAAATAATCATTAACTAACTAATAACTACTAAACACGTGGATTTGGGCCCATAACCTGATGAAGGAAAAAACAACGTTTTTAGTAGTGCTTTAGTAGTGAATATTGCAGAAATGACATTAAACAACATAATTATATAGTGAGCGTACCTAAATCAAAAGAGTGTGAGAATTATAGTAATTGGGCTTGCCGATTGAGAATTTTTTACTCAATCAAGCTAGAAACAATAATTCAATCCACTTATCATCTATTTTTCTTTTTAGTGCTTTCCATAATTACTACATTTCTACTAGTTGTAATTTAACTAGAAATGGGATCTTAGATATTGTAACCTTAAACATTTTTCCCACACCCTACTAAAATATGTAATTTACTTTACTTTTTAATAAACTATCAAGTAGTAAGATCCTGACGATATAAACTGGAACACCCTGTATAACAGGTAATACACACCTTGATAACGTGTGTTATGTTCTCCTCCACGTCCTCCTGTTCCCCTTATAGTTCCTCCAGTTATAGTTCCTCCACTTATAACCACTCCATCTCCTCCTCGTCCTCCCCTCTTTTGTCTCGTCAGTATGTTCACTTCTCTTTCTTCATCATTGTCTGTAAGATTATGAAACGATAAATTGATGAACTCTAGGAACATACATGTCAGACTTTAATAAATTCATATTTTTAAATTAACTATTCTAATATAACACTATGTGTATAAATATTGTTTAATCTTTTCGAGATTTAATTTTTTTATATTTATTAGGTAAATATAATGTTCAACTTTATGCAACTGGATGCATAAACTAGATCGTTTAAATACATGCTGCGGTTATAAAAAAAGTGTTTTTATGTGTCCAAATTAGTGTCGTAGAAATTGCAAGCGCACAAATACGATAAACCGTGGTTTTTTGTATGTATGGATGGACAGACGAAATTTAAAAATTTCTATACATATTTTTAGAACTATAAAAAACCCAATTTTTGTATTAAACTTTACACCCAAACGAAGCAACCTTAAATTGAGGTTAAAACCAGCCTTTTATAATATACACACCTTGAAGACTTTGGTTTTCTTCTTGTACTTCACGGTTTTTACGTTTTTTTCCACGTTTTTTTTTACGAGTTTCACCACTATCTCCTCCACTTCCTCCTGTTCCAGTTACAGATCCTGCCGTTATAGTTCCTCCACTTATTACGACACCATCTCCTCCTCGTCCTCCTCTCCTCTTTTGCCTGGTTAGAATTGAATTTTCTCTTTCTTCATCAATTTCTGTAACATATAATAACGAATAAACTGTAGGTATGTATATTACCATCTGTATGTATAGTACACACCTTGAAATAATAATTGATTTGCTTCTGGTACTTCACGTCTTTTACGGTTTCCTCCACGTCCTCCTTTTCCTTTTATAGTTCCTCCACTTATAGTTCCTCCACTTATAACAACTCCGTCTCCTCCTCGTCCTCCTCTTCTGTATCTCTTTAGTAATACCTCTTCTGTTTCTTCGTCACTTTCTGTCAACATATTTATAATTGAAAAATAAACTGTAGAACTAAAGATCTAAAAAATGTGCTAAAATTAACTATACTGCTAACTGCAAAGTACTTGATTGCAGATTTTTGTTACGCAACAAGATCTCAGAGATGTCTGTATCTATGTATCTGTAACACACGCTTTCTAGTGTTGGTATCAATTCTATTTCATAAGTTTCCCTTTTTCTTAAATAAGCATATTGTGCTGACTTTCCTTGTCCATATGATTCTAATATTTTTGATTCTGGTTTGAAACAGCACAATTTAAATATCATCTGTACATCTGTACAATCAATTATTATGACACTACAAATTAACTATCGTCCTGTATCATTTAGAACAGTGGTCGCCAACCTCTCAATGTGTTGAGCTACTTTGTTAATTTTAGAATAAACAGCGAGCTACTTACACGGAAGCCACGTAACGCAACGTAAATGAAATAATCCACAGTTAATTTATCATTATATGTATTTATTTTACTATTTAACTGGTAATACATAATACATAGGTATTAATAATAAACTAATAACTAATATTACTAGTACGTACTTGTTCATAGCTACATTCCTACCTACCAAAAGAAGGTGTTTGAAAAATAAACACAAACTTTTATCCAGCCACAACGGCATGTCACGTAAGATTTAAAAATAGTTAATAATAACAACAAAAAAGTAACGCACTATCATAAACATAAACATTGAAAAATAAAAAAGCACGTTCAATGAGAAGGCTGACACTCAGACTCATCGATAATTTTTTTAATATTTGCAGTATAATTTGATACAGCCATTCGAATACGATTATCCAAATGTTAATCTGTAAGTCGATTGCGATATTTCTTCTTAATAAACTTCATACTGGAAAAAGAAGATTCACACAAATAGGTTGAACTGAATAATGCTTTCACTTTCAAGGCAACACGGCATAGAACTAAATATTTGTCTTTACTTACAATAGGCCAGATACATTTGGTACTTGAGACAAACTGTTGGATATCAATTTCCATAAAGCGTGAAACAACAAACTGCGCTACTAAAGCTATTTCGTTAAAATCCTTAAAACGATTTTTGAAGTTATTCTTCAGGGTAGAAACTATTTCTACATGATATTTGCTGTCATAGGGTTCTAATGGATTTTGAGATATTTTTTCTGAAAGAATAGGAAATTGCTTGGCATCGCTGTTAATTAGGTTTTGTTCCCAAAACTCCAGCTTTTTGATAAATGCTTTTATATCAGAAATCATTTCCGCTAGTTTTTTGTCTCTCCCCTGAAGCTGCAAATTAAGTTCGTTTAATTTCTCTGTAATGTCCACGAGAAAACCAAAATCTCTAAGCCATATTGAATTTTCTAGTTCCGGAGTTGGTTCATCGCGTTGTTTGAAAAATTGAACTATGCCAGATAGGACATCATTAAAACGTTTCAGCACCCGTCCTCTACTTAACCATCGGACTTCAGAGTGAAGGAGTAGGTCCCCGTATTGACAGTCAACTTCACCGGCCAAGGTTTTGAATAATCTTCTTTGTAACGCTTGAGCTCTAATCTTGTTCACAATTTTTACCACCAGTTTCATAACGTTGTTTAGTTTCAGGAAATTTCCACATAATGCTTGCTGATGGATAATGCAGTGGTAACAGAGAAATTGCAAAAAAGTTTCATCTTTACGACATAACGCCACCAGACCCTTATCACAACCCACCATAGCTGGAGCGCCATCGGTTGTCAAGCCTACCATTTTCGATATTGGAATTTTCTCAGAAGAAATAACATTTTTTAAATGAGAAAACAACTCCTCTCCAGTAGTGTGTCCTTTCAGTGGAATAAACTTCAAAAGATCTTCTTTAATCGTAAAATCACTAAAAACCATCCTGACGAACACGCCCATCTGGGCAGTATCAACGACATCTGTTGATTCATCCAGTTGAAGTGAAAAATAAACACAGTTATCTAAGTCAGTTCTTAACTGTAAAAAAGTATAATTGCTCATTACTTCTACACGTCTCATCACTGTATTAGCAGAAAGTTGCATAGATTTTATAGCTGAAGCTATCTCGTCTTTATTTCTAAAGTTGGCAAATAACGAATCAGCAGCTTCTAAAAACGCCTGTTTTATCATTTCCCCGTCTTCATAAGGTTTCTTTTTTTGTGCAATTATCTGGGACACACGGTACGATGCTTCAGTTGCAGCCTTATTTTTGTCGACTGTTCATAAAAATATTGACTGTTGTCCAATTAACTGCATTTTTAACTGTTTCAGTTTCTCCTTTCTGGCGGCAGAATGTAGTGGGAATGATTTTTCAAAATTAGAATGTACAGTTTTATGATGTCTCTCAATATTTCCTTTTTTAGCAAGGGAGACCGAAGTATTACATAACAAACACACATTTTTATCTTCAACTTCTGTAAAAAAGTATTGTTCTTCCCATTCCGAATGAAAGTGGTGTCTTTACCTTCTTATAACTGCTTGCTATAATATTATTTTTTGTTGTTCTCTACTAACCCAACCGCTGGACGTTGGTTACGCGTTCAGTTTTAAACTAAGCGCAATGTCGCCACGCCGTGCGTATTTATCCCGTTCAAAGCAATCCTGATCGTTCTTGAACACTAACGCGCTGGTCCGGCTGGTCGGTTCTAGCCGATTCTAGCTTGATGGCGTCAGCGGCAGATCGCTCACCGCAACGTTGCCGCTGTTTATGTTTATATTATGACATAATTCATAAATGTGTAAAGTGTGAACACCTGTTTTATTGTGCTCCCGTTAAAAGTCGATTTATCTAGTGTTCCAGCATACAATTTGTTCTAAGATTTTGCATGTGAGTCAGATAAACTACTATAATTCTAAAACTGCATTTGGTTCCATCATTTGAATCTTCTGGAACGAAAAAAAAAAAAAAAAATGAAATTAAATCTAATAAAGGAGAAATAAATCAATATAGAAAACGCTATCTCTAACTTTTTTGGTTGTAAGCTTTGATTGATAGTGAGTACACGTCGTTAGATTTGATGTAGAGATGGGATATAACGAACTAAGCAATAACGAATTATTCACTAAACTTATGCAAGTAATTAAAACTGAAGGTGTTGAAAATAAAAATCTCTTAACTCAGATAAAGAATGACAACAAAATACTTCTTGATAAACTTAATGAAAATTCAGTCAAATTAAAAGATCTAGAAATAAAACATCAACACGTATTAAATAGATGCCTGTACTTTGAGCGATCTCTAAGAAACAACAATATTTTCATTTATGGTCTACACGTTTCAGACACTGAACATTTATTGACATATATAATAACAAAATTTAAAGAGCTGCTAGACGTAGATGTTACAAAAGAGGACATAAATAATATATTTACATTAAACAGCGACAATACTCCACCCATAAAAGTAGAGCTAACCACCTACATCAAGAAGAGAGAAATTCTCCAAAATTGCAATAAGCTTAAAGGCAAAAACGTATATATAAACAACGATCTTTGTAAGGAAGACAGGGAAGACCAAAAAATTCTTATAGAGAACCTTAAGGCTGCTAGGGCTAAACAGTATTCTGCTCATATTAAAGGTAAAGTGTTGGTAGTGAGCGGAGTAGAGTACACTCTTACTACGCTCAAGGAATTTAAAGTTAGCGGCAACTTTCCCATAACGAATACATCGCCTACCAGCAGTCAAAACGTTTCACAATTGTCTGAAAATTTGCAGTCACCTCCTATTTTGGAAAACAATAATTCGTCGCAAGTCATTTCTGGTAAAAGAGGAAACTCCTCACCGACTGACTCGGTAGCAGAAAAAGAAAAAACAAAACTCCTTAGATCTAACTCCAGTTCCAGCTCCAAAAGCGACAATTCTAGTAGATCAACAAGAAGTACCGTTAAGAAATAACTTTTACAATAATATTTTTGTCCAATTTATTTTACGTTCCTTCAAATTCCATTTAACTTTATTTTTATATTTTGGTAAATATTGATTTTTGTTTGTAATTAATAAATAGCTGTTTAATTATGTTTAAATCATTTTCAGTTTGCCACGTTAATGCTAGATCTGTTTTGTCAAATTTTATCGAATTTAAAAATGCTGTACATAATCAGTTCGACTTAATCACGGTATCTGAAACATGGTTTAACAATTTAATAAGGAACGAATCGGTTGCCTTACCAGGATATAGACTTTTTAGACGAGATAGAACCAAAAAGAGGGGCGGAGGGGTTGCTATTTATGCTAGGCAATATTTTAATTGCAAATATATTTTAAATTTAGAAAAAACTGAATCGGAACAACTGTGGATTTCAATAAATATTAATAATAAAAATTACGCCTTGTGTTCCATCTATAGATCTTCCGATTTTCCATTTCAACAATTTATAGATGAATTTGATAACTGTTTAAACGAAATAGCACCCAAATTTGATTACATTATTGCCGGAGGAGATTTTAATATCAACTATTTGGACCCCGAGAGTGCACCGAGTAAATTAATACAAACTATTCAAGATTCGTATGAGCTAATACAGGTAATTGATCAACCTACGAGAGGGGTAAAATTGCTTGATCTCATTTTGTGCTCGGATAATCTTAAAATTGGAAATATAGATGTACGTGAATGTTCTATTTTATCACATCACTCAATTCCTTCATGCACTATTGGATGCCAAATTAATAAACCTGAACCATTTTTGTATACATTCCGAGACTTTAAACGCTTTCAAGTCGCTGACTTCCTTCAGGATCTACAAAATGCGGATTTTAATAAAATAATACTAGCCGATAATATTGATTTAAAAATTGAAACATTAAATATTTTAATTTTAAATTTGTTTGAAAAACAAGCTCCCAAAAGAATTGTCAAAATAAGCAAAATAAAATCACCCTGGCTTACCGATACTCTAAAATGTATGATGGAATTGAGGGATAAAGCTTTACAAAAATTCAATAAATTTAAAAACCCACATCACTGGGACTATAATAAGACATTACGTAACGAGGTCAATTACGCAATTAAACGAGAAAAAAGAGCTTACTTAGAATTCAGGCTGCGAAGTAAAAATAACATTTGGAAAGAATTAAAACATTTAGATATAATTCACAATAATAAAAAATTGCCTTTGAATATTCCTTCCCACCTGCAAAATCCTGACACGATCAACAATTATTTTATTAATGGTATTGTGTGATTCGCCAGACCCAAATATCCTGGAGAATTATAGCACATCGACTGTCGTAAATGTTGACACATTTAATTTTAAAACTGTACAGGAATTGAAAGTCTATGAAAAACTGCTCTCCATAAAATCCAATGCCACCGGTCCGGACGAGATAAATATTACCATGCTATTGCACTGCTGTCCTCTTATACTTCAATACCTCACTCACATTTTTAACTTCTGCCTTAGTAATTCTATATTTCCTTCGCTATGGAAAAAAATCTCGAGTAATACCTCTTCCAAAAACAGACAATCCATCGGAATATAGCCAACTAAGACCTATAAGCATTCTTTGTACACTGTCCAAAGTATTAGAAAAAATAATGGGAAAACAAATAAGACTGCACATCTCCCAATTTGATATATTACCTATAAATCAGTCAGGATTTCGCCCAAATCACAGCTGTACTACTGCACTACTTAAGGTTTTAGATGATATTTATTATGCAATTGATACTAACAAGCTTTGCATATGAGTACTCTTAGACTATTCTAAAGCATTTGACAAAATCAATCACAGTATGCTTAGATCCATTTGTCATTATATAGGATTTAGTAGTTCTTCCTTAAATCTGCTAAAATCATATCTAGACCAACGGACTCAAAAGGTCGTTCTAGGCGGAAAAAGTTCAAACGATATTTTAGTCACTCGCGGCGTACCTCAAGGGTCTATTCTAGGGCCTCTTTTATTCTCTTTATATACTTCGCAATTTCATAGACACCTTAAATATATGAAATCACACTTTTATGCAGATGATACACAACTCTATCTTGAATTTAAAGAATCTGAAATTGAAGAAGCTACACATAATATAAATGATGACTTGAGAACATTATCAGAATTGTCCACAAAATTCTGTCTATCAATTAATGGCACTAAATCTAAATCTATGTTATTTGGTCGAAAATTAGCTAAAAATCGTGTAAAAAATTCTGCTACTGTTCAGATTGATAATAAACCAATTGTTTTTTCAGACTGTGAAAAAAATTTAGGACTATATATTGACGACTCCCTCACTTTTTCTCAGAATACATCTTTTGTGGTAAAAAAAGCTTTCTCAAATTTAAAACTTGTATATTCGCACAGACACTTATTAAATAAGCAGGCTAAGATGTTACTATGTGACGGTTTAGTTCTTTCACAACTAAATTACGGCGATGTAATTTATGGACCTGCTTTATCACAATTTAACAAAAATCGTCTTCAGCGTATTCAAAATGCATGTATACGACTTATTTGCGAACTAAGACGTCGTAGTTCTACTTCACATCACATTGCGAAACTTGGCTGGTTGAATTTAAATAACCGAAGAGTACTACATGCCTCTTTACTTTTCAAAAAAATTATACTTACCAAAAAACCTACGTACCTGTACGAAAAAATTAAAAAAAGATCTGAGGTTCACAACATAAATGTTAGATTTAAAGACAGCATATCACTGCCAAAACATAACACAGCGCTGTTCCGATCCAGTTTCTCGTACAATATGGCTAAAATCTACAATCTCATCCCTACCAAATTTAAAACTCTACCTATTTCTAACTACAAGAAAAAAATAAAAAAAAGCTTACTTAATGGAAGTATTCAATTTAATATAATTGATGACGGACCAACAAGCAGATCTACCTATCTCATTAACCAAACTGATTTTGTGAACATTTTTCCTTATTAATAATTATATTGTAATTATTTTATTATTTCAGTTTATTTTATAATTTTAGTTTATTTTATTATTCTAGCTTATTTTATTTTACTAGGTTGAGTGGAAGAGCAGATTCTACGGAAGATTCGACAGAATCCTCCTAAGAAATCTGAACTCTGCCTTTTGACTGTGAAATATCAATGTATCCACATGAATTATTGTTTTATTTGTCTCTTTGTAATTAACAGTCAATAAAAACCTTTATTATTATTATTATTAATTAGATTTTTTTGTGGAATTTTCGGAAGCTTCTCTGATTTTTGCAAGTTTGTTTTTTTTTTAATTAAAATCGTTGTGAGAGCCACCAGAATTGCTACCGGTAGCTCGCGATCGACAGGTTGGCGACCACTGATTTAGAACATGGTATTTAGCAAGTTAGATTAGATTAGATTCAATGTGGTCCATGTGGCGAGGTTTTGTTAAGTCTTCCACTGGTCTGCACTGGAGTTATTCTCAGCTATGATGCGATCGTGCGCTATAGATACTATTTAATAATTAAAATTAATGAAAATTATCCATAAAATGTAATTTACGTTTATTTTAGAATGTCTAAAACAATTTATGTAAAACGTAGATGAAATACTTGCATTTTGGCAGTTCTGCAGCTCTACAACACTTATGCAATAGCCGCCATTGAATCATCTTAATTCCCACATTGCATTTCGTTTGTTTTGTTATAACCAGAAACAGAGATACTGTCACAGGTTATATTACAATTCCTCCTCTTCGTCTTTTCTTTTACCAAATGTTATTTATTTATCTTCAAAACCAAGTTACCTCTCAAGAACACTCCAAAGTTGTTATTATTATTATTATTATTATTATTATTATTATTATTATTATTATTATTATTATTATTATTATTATTATTATTATTATTATTATTATTATTATTATTATTATTATTATTATTATTATTATTATTATTATTATTATTATTATTATTATTATTATTATTATTATTTTGTTTTGATTTTTCTCAGCTACTTGCTGGTTGCAGTAGACAGTGTTGAAGAAGAAATTCATCTTATTCCAACACGCCCAAAAATTTCCTCACTATATGGCAGGTCTGTAGGATGGCTGCTTTTTGTAGATGTGGTATAATAGGAGGTATATTTAATTTTTCTAATTGTTTTGGAAGGTTTATGGAGACAATTCCTGTAACCGAAACTACTATTGGGATTATTTGTACTCTCTTCATGCCCCAAACATGTTTTATTTCTATGGCAAGGTTTTCATATTTTGTGGTTTTCTCTAATTCTGTTTTCGCAACGTTATGGCTAAGTGGGCAAGCAATGTCTATTATAAATGCTTCTTTGGTTTCTTTACCTATAATGACGATATCAGGTCTGTTGTAATCCACTGTTCGATCAGTAAGTATCGGTCGATCCCAATATAAAATGTTTTCCCTTGATTCTAAAATAGGCTCAGGATTATAGCGATAGTACGGTGGAGGATTTTCAGTTAGGTTTAGTTTTTGGGCTAACTGGGAGTGTATTATTTTGGCTACCTGATTATGTCTTCCTAGGTAAGCACTATTTGACAGTGCAGAACATCCAGCCGTAACATGTTCTATTGTTTCATTAGGTGCTCGACATTTTCTGCATACATCCTCTACATTCGCTTTCAAGATATGTTTTTCATAATTTCGTGTACGGATTACTTGATCTTGAATTGCTATTAAAAATCCCTCAGTCTCCGGGTATAGTTGTCCTTGTCTTAACCAAGTTAGCGAAAGTTCTTTATTAATGTTTTGCTGTGTCAATGCAGCTGGGTATTTTCCGTGTAAAACTTTTTCTCTCCATGATGTTGTCATCGATTGATTACTGATAGGTGATATGTGTTCTTCTTGTTCCGATAGATTTAGGGGTGTATATTTATTATCATGTGTCACAATAGATCTTATTATTGGGCACTCTACTTTGTTAAAATATTCCTTCATTTTCTGCTCTTGTTCTTTACATAGCTTTTCTATACATATAAACCCACGTCCTCCTTCACTTCTTGGCAGATGCGTTCGCTCAACGGCGGATCTGGGGTGATGATATCTGAATTTAGTTAGCACTCTGCGTGTTAGACGGTCTAATTCTTTCAAATCCGTGGTGGTATATTTTAAAATTCCAAAAGAGTAGGTCAGTACAGATATTGCCCAGGTATTGACGGCTATAGTTAGATTTTTAGAGTTTAGTTTAGTGTTAAGTAGTTTGGTAAGTCTCTTTTTATATTTTTCTTTATACTCTTTTTTCCTATTTCTATGATCTATTGAGCCATGTTGTTCTATTCCCAGGTATTTGTAGGTCTCTTCGGGAGGCAGAGCTTGAATTTCCCTTTCTGTATTTTCATACCGTATGTTGCCTTTGATAAATGTCAAAGTATTATTATTATTATTATTATTATTATTATTATTATTATTATTATTATTATTATTATTATTATTATTATTATTATTATTATTATTATTATTATTATTATTATTATTATTATTATTATTATTATTATTATTATTATTATTATTATTATTATTATTATTATTATTATTATTATTATTATTATTATTATTATTATTATTATTATTATTATTATTATTATTATTATTATTATTATTATTATTATTATTATTATTATTATTATTATTATTATTATTATTATTATTATTATTATTATTATTATTATTATTATTATTATTATTATTATTGTTTGAAGTTTGACGCATGGGACTTAATTTACTAATTAAAATACCTTGTTCTTCGGGCATGTGTTTGTTGGGATATGTACGCTTAGCATTTCCTCCTCGTCCACCAATTCCTATTATATCCCTGTTTATTCTTCCTCCAGTAATTACGATTCCATCCTCTCCTCTGCCACCATTACGTCCTGGTTCCCCAACTCCTACTAGATCCCCATTTACTATATCTCCTTCTTGGATTACTAATCCAGCCTGACCTACACGACCATCTGAAAATTATATAAAGATATAATAAGATGTTGGCTTGAATCAAAAGAATATAAAACAAAGACAATCTTCAATTATTTATTTATAGACTGCAAGTATAACTATTCTTAATCAAGGAGAATCCCTTAATCAATACCTGGCCCTAGTAATTTTCTTTGAATGTTTCTCTTTATAAAAAAAAAGTAAAGTTTGATAGATATAACATGCACAAACAATATTGACAAAGATACATTATATCGGATTGGTTTAGAACTTTTTATAATAATACAAACCTTCATAATAAACAGTCGGCTTTCTATGTTTTGTCCGTCTGTGGCCTTCATGATGGCTAACGATTATTACTTCTTTTCTCCGACCACTATCTGATCCTATTACTTGTTCTCTTCCACCCCCTTTTCCTACTACTATTACTCCGTCTTCAATAACTCCAACGCCTCCATGTCCTCCATGTCCTGGTCTTCCTTCTTCTCCCGGACCTATTACTATCCTTTTTCCACTAGTTTTAATTAAAATTCCATGCCCTCCTCTTCCCTCTTCACTTGAGTCTTCATCTGAATATTCATCTGACGACTCTTCGTTTGAATGTCTCCTTAGTTTGGTTTTTCTTTTTACTTTGTTCGTATTTTCTATACCTACAAAAATTTTAATTTTAATGGCGAGTTACTATATCAAACGTTGTGCCCAGATCAACAAATGTATCGAGCCTGTTTAGATAAGTCGATATTTAGTCACATTTAGCTTATCCGCAGTTTTATAAATTCGAATTACTATAGCTGTTTTAAATACCATTTGACATTCTCTCGTGATATAAGTTTTATTAAGTAAGTTAAAGAAACGTAAATGTCTTCAGCAATTAGTTTAACATGTTCTGGCCTTATGTTATCCATTCCTGGAACCTTTGTTTTATTCAATGTATAATTTTTGTAAAACTTCCGTTTTATTTATGTCTTTAAGAAAGAGTGAGTTACATAAGGTTTTCTTTTTAAAGTTAGTATTGTTATTTATCAGCTTGTTCATTATTTTGAATGCCATTTCTTCACCAATATCACCAATATCAACGTCTTCTTTCCCCAGTTCCTATATCTATTGTTTCTTCTTTATTATTGTTCATTAACCGATTTCCAAAGACTTAATAAAGGGTCATTTTTGTTTGATGATAGTTCTTTGTTATATCTGTCTTTATGTCTCATTTAGTAATTTGCCGAAAAAAATTCTGTTATAATGGTTTGTATCGAAGAAGTTTGTTTCACAGTTTACCATGTACCACAGCGATATTAGAACAGTGTGGTATTGTTATTTATTAACAACAAAAAGCAATCAAATCGATTGGTAAAAAACACCGTCACGTGACAGGAATTATGTAATTATTTTACTCATATGTGGTAAATATACAATACTATAAAATACTCTAAAATATAAGTATAAAAATACTTACGTAGACATTCTAAAGGAGGTGCGCTCCAACCTTCATGAAGACAAGTTATCACGTAGTCTTCTGACAGTTTATATAATTCGTCACAGGAAAATGTTAAACTCGTAGCTATTGGTACTTTTGATCCTGGTTTTGATTCAGATTTTCCAATAATTTCCCATTTTCCATTTGAAGGGTGATTCGGTAGGACACATTTTCTACAAAAAAATAAATCTTTATAAAATACAATATTTCAAAATAATTATAGTATTTTTTTCATTCAATAGACGCCAGATAATTTAAATCACCTTGCATTCACCTCACTCTAACAAAATGGCGCCCAAAATGGTTGGTTAGAACTGTGGGCCAATTAGTCTTTTTAGATCTATTGCACATAGCCTTTGATCATAAGTTAAAGTAGTTTTCCAAGGTTTTTCTTCTCCAAGTGTAAGAAATATCAGTGCTGATAGACCTTCCTAGCAGCACAATACGTGAACTGTAGTTTCTTTATCTTATTGACAGAATCGGTTCAAGATCTATACCACGCCGATGTCTTTCGTTTGTCTGTTAAGCCATCAGTGCTCTGTTAATAGGCCAATATTTTTTCCAATTCTAACTAAGCATTTAGGCAATTTTGGCGTTGGTCCTTTTCAAGAACTCTTTGGTCAACTGTTTTACCATTCTTTAGATTTATTTAACATACATTGTTTTGTACACATTCAGATGTGACACCACAAAAGAGTTCTGGGCCAAAAGGAGCCTTTAATACTCCTTCGATCTCGAGCTAGTAAATCAGCCTTTTCATTACTTTTCTCTCGTCTGTGGTTAGTCTGTTTTGACTACCCAAATCAATGAGGGTTTTCAAACAGTTCTACAAAAGATTTGCGTTTACTTGCATGGAACTAAGTGCTTACAACCAGGGGCGGTTTCTCCCTTGGTTCATTTGTGCACTTAACACCCAGTTAAATTTTATAAAAACATTTTTGAAAATTACATGGCTCTGGCTGATCGTGTCTCTATGGCACAGTATACCTAAGTATACTGTGTCTGTGGCGCACTATAATAAGTGAACCTAGACGGACGAGATGATTTTGTGATTGCATGTAGCTAAAAAGAGATGTCAACAGATCCGTGAAACTGTATGAAAACATATTAAATTGCGCGTCGCTCACAAACAAGCTATGACGTCACAAAATAGGGCAGTTCATACGAACCTTGCCAAACCAGTGTTGCCAGTCTAGTACAATTTATAATTGTATAAAAAAATAAAAACTGCGATATTGGCTCTTGTACAAAGTTCTGAACCGAACTTACAAATGATAAAATTATTGGAGAAAGTGAACACCCATTTTAAATTACTAAAAGCTGCCTCTGCTTATAAGATCGCTTGATTGTATGAGTATATGACTTAATGTCTTAACAATACCACAGACAATACCGTAAAATGAGGTGAATAGAAACAGTGGGGTAATTAGAAACAAAACATTGCTAAATTTTTGGCGGGAAATAATAAATAAACAATAAAAAAAAGAAGAAGTTTATGGTCATCGTGAAGTTGGCTATACCTAAAACTAATAGAAAAATTGTAATTTGTTATGTAGGCATACCTATAAATTCCTTCTGTTGACAGTTGTCTTTGAGGTTAAGATTTGTGATTTTTTGGAGCTCCCAGAACTTTTTATGTAAGTACCAAACTACTAAATGTAATATATCACTGGTACGTTTTAAACGTTACACACAGTGTTTTAGCAATAGGTTTATGTTTAATTTTTGATATTTCACATTAGTTTGTCAGCAATGATTTTTTGTTTTTTGTGACGTTTCTATTTAGAATCTGTGGGGTGAATAGAAACAGTGTTTCTATTGACTCTACAAGTAATAAACTTATATTAGTATTTTTTTTTGTAGGTTTGTAACTAGATGATCTGTCAGAAACGACGTTTGTGCAGTCACTTATAGTTTGTTGTATCCTTATATTATAGATAACTATTAAATAATTTGTTGTTTTTTTCAGATTGTACCCGAAACATGCCCCGAAAATACAAACGAAGTAGTAAAACTACTAAACGGTATAAAAGGCACTCTGAGGAAAAAATCAAAAGTGCAATTCTAGATATACGATCAGGGTTAAGTTTAAGAAAATCGCCAGAAAAGCATGGCATTCATTTCAGCGTGCTCTACAGACATTTCAAACGGGGAAAACAAATGAAAAAACAAGGTGGACAGACGGCTTTATCTGATATGGAGGAATCCATTCTTGTAAACAGACAACAGGTATGTGGAGACTGGGGTTATCCCATTGATTCCCTGACATTAAGACTCTTAGTGAAACCGTTTTTAGATCGTCAGGGAAAAAGCATAAAAGTGTTCAAAGACAATTTACCTGGTAGGGACTTCGTATATTCTTTTATCTAAAGACATAAACAAGCCTTATCTTTAAGGATGTGCCAAAATATAAAAAGCAGGGCTGCTATTTCTCCGGAGGTGATAAACAAATACTTTGACAACCTCGAGGTGGAATTGAAAGACGTACCAGCTGGTAACATCGTTAATTATGACGAGACGAATTTATCTGATGACCCAGGGAGGAAGAAAGTTATTACCAGAAGAGGATGCAAATATCCGGAACGTGTAATGAACTCTACCAAATCTTTCGGTTTCTGTGATGTTTGCTGCTGCTGGGGACGGCAATATATTATCTCCTTATGTGGTATATAAAGCCCTACATCTCTACCACAGTTGGACTGAAAATGGCCCTAAGAACTCTCGTTACAATAGAACAAAATCGGGCTGGTTCGATGCCTTCTGTTTTCAAGATTGGGTTGAAACTGTAGCAGTCCCCTATTTGTGAAGGCTTGAGGGACAAAAGTTTTTGATTGGTGATAATTTAGCATCACATCTGTCATTGGAGGCAATTAGATTGTGTGAGGAGAACAATATTAAATTCATTTTTGTCCCAAGCAATTCAACCCACCTGACGCAGCCACTGGACGTGGCTTTTTTTCGTCCAGTAAAGATATCTTGGCGTCATATTTTAGAAACTTGGAAAAAAGGTCCAGGTAGAAATGAGTCGACTGTTCCAAAAGACAAATTTCCTGGTTTGCTAAATCAGCTATGTTCAACATTTAAACAAGATAATGTTATTTCCGGTTTCAAAAAATGTGGTATTGTCCCTATATGTCGAGTCAAAGTATTGTCAATGCTACCTAATACTGACATTACAGATGTGTATCGTTGAATCAATCGACGACACTTTTAAAGAATTATTAAGAAGTTTGAGGTAAGGAGACACCCCAAAACCCCGGAAGACTAGGAAAAAATGTGTTGTTCAACCAGGTAAAAGCATCGGCATACAGGAATATCAAGCAGATATCGACTCTGCAGATTTCAACCAAGCTGTAACACCGGTAGCTTCTTCAAGCAAACATCCTACTTGAAAAAATACCGGTGTTACTTCCGAATATTTCTTTGGTAAAAATGTTCTGTAGCATATGTCGCTGGTGTTAGAAGAATTAAGTTCTTTTGTAGAAATAACTAACGTGTCATAGGTAGTAGAAAAAGAAGTGTTTTTAATTCACTATTTTCACTGAAGTAAATACATAGTGGTTGATTCCATTTAGATATAATAATTTTCTTATCTTCACTAAACAGTTTTAAATATTTACAATTTTAGTTCATCACAATTTGATTAACTAATACAGTTGATTTTTTAGTTACCAACTTGAAAACATTTGTTTGTAGAATTTCTTATGCCATAATAATTGTAGAATATATAACTTTCATCAGAAAATAAAATGCATTAAACGCTTGTAAAAATGTAGAAAGTAACGTGCCGTCGGCAGAAAGCACTTGAACGTTCGGATGGCAAGACAACTGTGAGCGATGATGGCAAAAAGACAACTGAACTCGTTTGTGGCACTAAGACAACTGAACTCGTTTGTGGAAATAAGACAACTGAACTCGATTGTGGCAATAAGACAACTGAACTCGTCACGTCGAGCTCACCCTAATATATACTGTTGGGACGAAATGAGTGTCCGGGGCATAGTTGACGCACCTATTCGGTTTCAACCAATGAAATATCATGACATAATGAAATACGTCATTTGTGCTTCGTTAACTATGCGCCGGACACTCATTTTGTTCCAATGCACCGCTGTGCACTTGAAAACACAGGTGTTCGACGTTCGGTATTCTGAGAAAAATGCTATTTATAGTTTTATGACTTCACATTATATTAGGGTAAAAAGCAGTCGAACTATTTGAGAATTGTTTATTTATTTAGTAGATGTAAAATATTAATTTGTTGATGTTTTTACTGGTGAAATTGTAGAATTTAACCACTACTCGTTCAAAGAAAAATACAAAAACGAATGATGAAGATTCATCGTCAGTGAGCTCTAAATATTCCCTTCAAGAGTGTGATGATGAATTGGACCTATCATTTTCTGAAGATAAAGAAAATTCCTTCACAAATAGTCCTACACGTAAAAGTACCGAGACCCTTCACCCTGGAGATTTTGCAATTGCGAAAGTCTACGGTAAGACCAAGCAGTCTGTTAGATTGTACGTGATCAAAATTTGTTATTTCGTTGATGATGGGTATGTGGGACTTTTTTATAAAAAGGGCGGCGAGACAATGAAGTTTTCTGTAACAACTAAAGAGTCGTTCATAGATCATGCTGATATAGTTCGAGGGTTGTCTTCTCCCACTGTTTTTTCCTCTGGTCGATTCAAAGATATGCTTTCTTTTCCGGATAATCTCAGTGATTTGACAATATACTAATTTTATTTACTGATGTTTTTAATTTTTATGTTTTTGGTTTCTTCATCTGTTTATATTTACATATACTATGTAGATGAATATATTGAACTCTTTGTTTTTAGTTCGTTTTAAGGTTTTTGTGTTAAATAAAACTGATTTAATCAAACTGAATTTTTCTTTTGAAGTCTCTAGACACCCCACAATGCTATGAATAGATACAAACGCTCAATTAAATATGTGTTTCTTTTGACCCCATTTGTAGGGTGAATAGAAACACAACGAAAAAAAAATGAAATACAAATTAATTTTTTTTTAAATAATTTATAGTACACTTCATCTAGAAGAGACTAAGACCCAAGTTTTACACTAATTTAAACTACATTATCTCATCAAACGTCGCAGTAGCGTTACACAATAACATGAAACTCGTTTCTATTCACCCCATTTTACCGTACCTCTTTTGCGCAGTGTATTGTTGCTATTTACTTCTGGAATACGTTCGCATGTATAAATAAGCTACTCCTGCTCCTTCATTGGTTTTGGAGCCGTCTATATAGTAAGTGATTTCTGTGTTTATAGAAGGTCTTCTATTCTACACTTGTATGGTGTACGTACGTACCTTACGCAAACGTTTATACCATTTTATTTGCTATCTTAATAAATTCAGAGACGTGCAAAGGTTTGGTTTTTAAATAAATACTCAACAGTTGAAACACCTCATAGATTAACATGGTATTAGAAATAAAGACTTACCCAACATTGTTTGGAGCTGCATCCCCACCAACATAAAGAAAAATGCCTAAAAAAATTCACCAATATTGAAGTAAATTACAATAATTTGCCGCTGATAAACTTACTTGCAACAAAACTAATATAAATGGAATGTGTCAAGAACATGACGCAGCACTTCTGGTGCTATTATATTTTAACTTCGAAGCCAATAATAAACTGCAAAACAAAACAAAGATTTTATTAATTCGACTACATTTTCTGCTTGAAATTTGACAGAACATAATTTTATTTAATTTTGGATGCAGGTAATTAAATGAGATTGAGAGCCTGAGGTTGCAATTAAACGTAAACATTATTTTCGCATCAAATTTTCTAGTCGACAATAACAAACCAACATTAAACAACAAACAGATATGTCGACGACACTAGCTGGTCCTACTTTTTACCTTTAGTCGACATTCTTTAAATCAGTGGTCGCCAACCTCTCAATGTGTTGAGCTACTTTGTTAATTTTGGAATAAACAGCGAGCTACCCATACGGAAGCCACGTAACGCAACGTAAATGAAATAATCCACAGTTAATTTATCATTATATGTATTTATTTTACTATTTAACTGGTAATACATAGGTACTAATAATAAACTAATAACAAAATAACTAATATTACTAGTTCGTACTTGTTCATAGCTACAGTTCTACCTACCAAACGAAGGTGTTTGAAAAATAAACACAAACTTTTACCCAGCCACAACGGCATGTCTCGTAAGATTTAAAAATAGTTAATAATAACAACAAAAAAGTAACGCACTATCATAAACATAAACATTGAAAAATAAAAAAGTACGTTCAATGAGAAGGCTGACACTCAGACTCATCGATATATTTTTTTAATGTTTGCTGTATAATTTGATACAACCACTCGAATACAATTATCCAAATTAAAAAAACCAAAAAAGGTTGACAGCTGTGTGCACGTAGTTTAGATTCAAAAAGGAAAAACTTGTATTTCGTGCAAAACTTTTTTATTAATCAATGCAAAGCGCTTTCGGCTTATTTGCCATCATCAGTGCTCATCTACAAAAATTGTGGATGTAAACTTACAATTTAAAAAGATTTAAAAAAAAAAAAATTATAAAATCTGAATTAGACTTTTAAGTCAAAAGTTAAAATATTTTAACTTTTGACTTAAAAGTCTAATTCAGATTTTATAAATTTTTTTTTAAATCTTTTTAAATTGTAAGTTTACATCCACAATTTTTGTAGATGAGCACTGATGATGGCAAATAAGCCGAAAGCGCTTTGCATTGATTAATAAAAAGGTTTTGCACGAAATACAAGTTTTTCCTTTTTGAATTATCCAAATGTTCATATGTAAGTCGATTGCGATTTGTTCTTAATAAACTTCATATTGGAAAAAGAAGATTCACACAAATAGGTTGAACTGAATAATGCTTTCACTTTCAAGGCAACACGGCATAGAACTGAATATTTGTCTTTACTTACAATAGGCCAGATACATTTGGTACTTGAGACTAACGATTTTAAGGCTAAATCATTTTGAAACTCAATTGCTTCCATTTCTGTTGCAGCGATGTCTTCGCCAAAGTTCTGCATAACACAAGTTGCAAACTGTTGGATATCAATTTCCATAAAAGGTGAAACAACAAACTGCGCTACTAAAGCCATTTCGTTGAAATCCTTAAAACGATTTTTGAAGTTATTCTTCAGGGTAGAAACTATTTCTACATGATATTTGCTGTCATAGGGTTCTAATGGATTTTAAGATATTTTTTCTGAAAGAATAGGAAAATGCTTGGCATCGCTGTTAATCAGGTTTTGTTCCCAAAACTCCAGCTTTTTGATAAATGCTTTTATATCAGAAATCATTTCCGCTAGTTCTTTGTCTCTCCCCTGAAGTTGCAAATTAAGTTTGTTTAATTTCTCTGTAATGTTCACGAGAAAACCAAAATCTCTAAGCCAGATTGAATTTTCTAGTTCCAAAGTCGGTTCATCGCGTTGTTTGAAAAATTGAACTATGCCAGATAGGACATCATTAAAACGTTTTAGCACCCGTTCTCTACTTAACCATCGGACTTCAGAGTGAAGGAGTAGGTCCCTGTATTGACAGTCAACTTCATCGGCCAAGGTTTTGAATAATCTTCTTTGTAACGCTTGAGCTCTAATCTTGTTCACAATTTTTACCACCAGTTTCATAACGTTGTTTAGTTTCAGGAAATTTCCACATAATGCTTGCTGATGGATAATGCAGTGGTAACAAAGAAATTGCGGAAAAGTTTCATCTTTACGACATAACGCTACCAGACCCTTATCACAACTCACCATAGCTGGAGCGCCATCGGTTGTCAAGCCTACCATTTTAGATATTGGAATTTTCTAGGAAGAAATAATATTTTTTAAATGAGAAAACAACTCCTGTCTAGTAGTGTGTCCTTTCAGTGAAATAAACTTCAAAAGTTCTTCTTTAATCGTAAAATTACTAAAAACGATCCTGACGAACACGCCCATCTGGGCAGTGTCAACGACATCTGTTGATTCATCCAGTTGAAGTGAAAAATAAACACAGTTATCTAAGTCAGTTCTTAACTGTAAAAAAATATCATTGCTCATTACTTCTACACGTCTCATCACTGTATTAGCAGAAAATCGCATAGATTTTATAGCTGAAACTATTTCGTCCTTATTTCTCAAGTTGGCAAATAACGAATGAGCAGCTTCTTAAAACGCCTGTTTTATCATTTCCCCGTCTTCATAAGGTTTCTTTCTTTGTGCAATTATCTGGGACACACCGTACGATGCTTCAGTTGCAGCATTATTTTTGTCGACTATTCTTAAAAATATTGATTGTTGTCCAATTAACTACTTGAGTTTCTCCTTTCTGGCGGCAGAATATAGTGGGAATGATTTTTCAAAATTAGAATGTACAGTTTAATGATGTCTCTCAATATTTCCTTTTTTAGCAACGGAGACCGAAGTATTGTATAACAAACACACATTTTTATCTTTAACTTCTGTAAAAAAGTATTGTTCTTCCCATTCTAAATGAAAGTGGTATGTCTTTACCTTCTTACAACTGCTTGCCATAATATTATTTTTTGTTGTTCTCTACTAACCCAACCGCTGGACGTTGGTTACGCGTTCAGTTTTAAACTAAGCGCAATGTCGCCGCGCCGTGTATTTATTCCGTTCAAAACAATCCTGATCGTTCTCGAACACTAACGCGGTGGTTCGGCTGGTCGGTTCTAGCCAATTCTAGCTTGATGGCGTCAGCGGCAGATCACTCACCGGAACGTTGCCGCTGTTTATGTTTAATATTATGACAATTAGATTTTTTGTGGAATTTTCGGAAGCTTCTCTGATTTTTGCAGTTTGTATTTTTTAAATTAAAATCGTTGTGAGAGCTACCAGAATTGCCTCCGCGAGCTACCGGTAGCTCGCGATCAACAGGTTTGCGACCACTGCTTTAAATTATTTACCATGGATGTAATAGTCCAGTTCCGCTATATCGGATCTTCTCAGCTAACTAGATAAAGAAAATGGATTGAACCCTGGTAGAGGTATCCCATTAGAGTTTAATTAATTACACGACAATAAATAAGGAAGGGTATTCATTGCTCTTATGTGGTCATCTTAAAAATTTAATACCACACAAAATATTTTAATACTTAAATTAAATGGCAAGCTCGCTTCTAAAATTATAATAACATGATTTAATGCCATAAACAGTACAGCAAAATATATCTTATGACCTTTCTAACGAATTATATATTATATTGTTATGCAGCACCTTACAGTAGCCTGCGGCTGTTACAGGAAATGTACGAATACAAAAAGAAGTGCAATGTTGCTCATCGCCCTACAGTGTCTGCGGTCGTTATAAGTAAAATTAAGATTAAAAGAAGATAGAATAGTCCAGAAATGGCTGGAAATGTCATTACTTGTCAAGAAAAATCTAGACGACAGTTCGAGAAGAGTCAAGCAAGCTATATAAGTCAAGGATCCTGATGTCAGGTTTCAGTTTTATGATAACCGTTATATGTTAATGTTATAAGTTGTAAAATTTGAGTTGAAATAAATTTTGATACCAAAAACCTGCGTAACATTGGTGACAGATCCCCCACCATGGTTTTTAAAGATGGAGGAGTAAAAGGACAGGCGTAGGAAGAAAGACGAGGAGGAAAAGGAAAAGCGTGGAAAAGAAGAAGAGGAGGAAAAGAAAAGGCATAGGAAGGAAGAAGAGAAGTAAAGGAAAGACGTAGGACGGAGGAAAAGGAAAGGCGTAGAAAGGAAGAAGAGGAGAAAAAAGAAAGGCATAGGAAGAAAGAAAATAAGTAAAGGAAAGGCATAGAAAGGAAGAAGAAGAGAAGAGGGAAATACGAGAAGAGGAAAAGGAGGAGGGGCATAGAAGAACCGAGGTGGAGACTATAAGAAGAGAAGAGGGAAAAGCAAGAAGAGGAGGAGGCGAGGCATAGAAGAGCCGAGGTGGAGATTATAAATGGCTTGCTGCAAATTCAAGAAAACCTTAAGCAAGAGATAGGTCAATTAAACAGTCGAATATAACTCTTAGCACAACAAGAGAATTTAAAAACTAATTTAACACAACAAGAAACTGCTAGAATAGAGTTAGAAAGGCAAATTAGAACTGAACTAGTTGAATTAGAAAGAAGAATTCGTAGCATAGCTTTGGCAAGCAACAGAGAAACTGCAGCTATAACTGAACCAAACTATATTCATAGTAAATATAAATAATTGCGAGATAGAGATTTAAAAATAAATAACGTTTTTAGTTCATTAATAATAAATAATTTTGGTATATTATAAAACATATTTGTTTTCGTAACTGTAAATCTACTTTTGGGGTAATTAAGGAAATTTGTATAAAAGATTTGTTTTTTTTTGCTGGAAAACCTGAAATGTAAATAATATTTTGTCATAGGGTAATCAAAAGGCGTTGCCACTGCACAAGAAGAAGTAAAAGAAAAAAGAAGAAGGAAAAGAAGGAAGAAGAAGAGGTCAATACCGTACTACCTTTGCCAGAGTCACCCTTAGCACCGTTCCAGGACCATCACGAAGTCCAAATCGTGATAATTACCCAAATCCAGGACCTTACCAAGTATCAAGGCAATCCAGAGTTCCACGATCTATGGCAGAGAATGGGCCGAATTCCAGGACTCCAGAATCTTAGGCTACAAAGAGA